ATGTGTTTGTTGGCAATCTGTATAACTTCTTTGGAGAAATGTCTGTTAAGGTCTTCTGCCCATTTTTGGATTGGGTTGTTTGTTTTTTTGATATTGAGCTGCATGAGCTGCTTGTATATTTTGGAGATTAATCCTTTGTCCATTGCTTCATTTGCAAATATTTTCTCCCATTCTGAGGGTTGTCTTTTTGTCTTGTTTATGGTTTCCTTTGCTGTGCAAAAGCTCTTAAGTTTCATTTGGTCCCATTTGTTTATTTTTGTTTTTATTTCTATTTCTCTAGGAGGTGGGTCAAAAAGGATCTTGCTGTGATGTATGTCATAGAGTGTTCTGCCTATGTTTCCCTCTAAGAGTTTTATAGTGCCTGGCCTTACATTTAGGTCTTTAATACATTTTGAGTTTATTTTTGTGTATGGTGTTAGGAAGTGTTCTAATACCATTCGTTTACATGTAGCTGTCCAGTTTTCTCAGCACCACTTATTGAAGAGGCTGTCTTTTCTCCATTGTATATTCTTGCCTCCTTTGTCAAAGGTAAGGTGACCATATGTGCATGGGTTTATCTCTGGACTTTCTACCCTGTTCCATTCATCTGTATGTCTCTTTTTGTGCCAGTACCATACCATCTTTTTTTTTTTTTTTTTTTTTTTTTTGTGGTACGCGGGCCTCTCACTGTTGTGGCCTCTCCCGTTGCGGAGTACAGGCTCTGGACCCACAGGCTCAGCGGCCATGGCTCACGGGCCCAGCCGCTCCGCGGCATGTGGGATCTTCCCGGACCGGGGCACGAACCTGCGTCCTCTGCATCGGCAGGCGGACTCTCAACCACTGCGCCACCAGGGAAGCCCCTTACTGAGAAATTTAAATGCTGTTGCTCGCCTTTCTGTTCCTCTTTCAATTGGTTTTCAAGTGTGACCATATTTGTGGAGTACCCTGAGTATTTCTCCTCTATGCAGAGATACTGATATGAGAAGAGGTCGAGGGAATTGATAATATAGGTAAAGCCACTGAAATTTGTTAGCCAAGTCACTGAATTTGCATGGTCCCGATAATTTGTGATAAGGTCACAATACTTACATTGAGCATATGCACAGTGTCTACTATGTGGCTGGGAATGAATGACTCTGTGGTTTCATCATAAGGTAGAGTTCGGCTGAGAGAAGACAAAGATCTTAGGAATGTTGGCTTCTCAGGTTCACTCTGAGTTTGTAGAAAAATGATAAAAACACAATTATGCATTATAATCTCATTTCATAATTGTAAACGCTTTTGAAAAGTTTCTTGGAATGTTTTAAACAACTGACATCTCATTCAATCCAAGATTAGTTTTTTATTATAAGGAACGAATAAGTTACAGAGGATAAAATTCCTTGTCCACTGGTTCTGCCTGGGTGTGGGACCTCATTTTCCCTCTCAGCTAGATTTTACCAAGCGCTCCATGATGGCTCTCCCCATCTTTAGTCTTTGCTTCCCCACCTACTCACCCTGTGTACTGCTGTCTAATTAAGGTCCTAAAGGTGACCTCTGATGCTATTACTTCCAGCTCTCCTGATGTCATTAAAATCATTATTTTGAGTCTTTGTTTCCTATTAAAATGCAAGTCCTGATTTGAACAATAAAATCTTTTGTATTATTGTCTTTTTCTGATTATAAACACAGTATCTGTTGTAGAAACTTTGAAAAAATAAAGTATAAAGAAGAAAATAAAAGACACCAATAATTCTACATATCTTGAGAAAATTTCTTCCAGTCTTTTCTCCCCTGCATGTAGATGGTATAAACTGATAAGCTCTCTGGACAGTAAGCAGCAAATATAGCAAGAAGCTGACTTCAATGGCCTGACTCTCACCTGGATTAGTATAGCAAGCAAACATTGGGTTACACTGCTCCAGTTCTGCCCCCTTCCAATCTATTCATCCAGCTATCACCAGTTTCATCGTTATAAAATGAAAATTTGATCATTTTACTCCCTACTGAAACTCTTTTCAACAGCACTCATGGAGGTCAAGGCCCTTCTCAATGTGATGGCAGCTAACCTCTTCAAATTCATCTTTTGCCTTGCCTGGTAGCATTCTGAGCTTTAGCCTAGTTAAGTTTCATGCTGCCCTTTCTTGCTTCTGGGCCTTTTCACCTTCTGAATTCTCTACACTTTTTGTTTACTGACTGAAATCTATATGTGCTTCAAGACTTGGATCATGCATTTTCTCCTGAAGCTGGGTCAGGTATCCTTCTAAGTGTATCCATAAACCACATGTGCATATTGCTAACATGGTATTTGTGATACTCTGATAAAATTACCTTCTTACTCATCTATTTCCTTGACTGGCTGTGGATTTAGGTCAATGCACAGGATGGACTTTTTTTTTAAATTCACTGCAGCAATCCATCCCCTTTATTAATTACAAAGAAATCCTTTATAAAGCCCTGCTGACATGAAGTATAAAGAGTAATCCAAGTCAAAAATGAAGACCAACATTCTGGCTTTAAGTCTTTTTAAAAAAATTTTATTGGCATTACACATAGAGAGAATGTAAAGCTTGTTGAATTTTCACAAACCAAAAACATCTGTGTATATACACTCAAGGGAAATGAAATCTGGATAAAGAGGTATCTGCACTCCCATGTTCACTGCAGCATTATTCACAGTAAATATGGAAACAACCTAAGTATCTGTTGACAAATGACAGACACCGTTGACACTGTGATTAAGATGTACCAGGCTTCTCTGAGCTCATCAGACATGCTCTGCTCCTTTCTGCCACAAGGTTGTTAAACGTTTCATTTCCTATTTCTGGAACACTCCCTCCAATTCTAACTTCCCCTAGTTTCTCCTATTCATTCCTTAGATTTGAGCTCCTCAAGGGTTACTTCCTCAGAAATGCATTCCCTTATCCCCAGGTCAAGATAAATTCTTCTGTTATGTGCTCCCATAGAATGAACGAGTGTTTTACCTAAACAAGGAATACTGTATTAAGTAAGATAATACAGATCTATAGTTACTGACCTAGAAAAATTTTTTTCTCCCACCATCTCTGACGTGTGTTTTTCTATAATTACATGCATTTGTATGCACAGAAGAAAGTCTGAAAATATATATACCAAAATGTTAACAGGAGTTATCTTAGGAGAGGGGGATTAGGGAAGATTAACCTGTAACTTTTATTACAATTTTCTTTGTTTTTATAGGAAATTTATAATTTTTATAAACATAAATATAATTTATAAGAATATGTAAATATATTTATTATAAATATAAAAATAAATATAAAAGTACTGTGGACAAAGAATGTCACCTGCCATTTCAGTAAACAAAGGATGCTGAAGCCACCAGCTGTCCCACATCTTCCCCTATGTAGAAAAGCACTAAAATCATAAACTTGAGATGTCTGTTTTTGAGATTAGCAGTCATCTTTTGATGTTTCACTACATGTTTGTTTGTTTTTTCCAGCAAAAACTCCTTCTTATCCTGGCTCCTCCCTTACTTCTTTGGAAGAGTCCCTCAGAGCTGTCAGAGACACTGTCATCCCAGGCTCTAGTCCTCAGTAAGGCCTCCGAAAAAACGTAACTCTTAACTTGTAGGCTGTGCATTTCTTTTTCAGTTGACAGTATAAATATAAATAAATTTTACAAATTTTTTTATAAATAACTTCTACACTATAAATTATTTATATAATGTTTAAAATATGTGTTGGAACGGCAGAATAATTTGGATGACTTAGAGAATTGCTGTGCATACCTTTAGTTCACCATTAAAAAACTCCAGGATGGATTGAATCAGCCTCTCAACAATGACCTCACCGAGGGGGCCCTGGTGGGTCAGGTGTCTGAAGGTGTCTGTGAGGGATTCCCAAGGGAGTCCAGGGATATCCGAGTCTGTAACACCGGAAGAAAGACATTGGATGACGCCTCTGTACTGTGTGAAGTCGTACGGTTTAGTGGGGAGAACCACTGTACATCAGAATAGACAGGTCCTGTTCTCACCTTTACTATTTCCTCTGCAACCTTGGACAAGTCCCTTCCCCTCCTGAGTCTCAGTTTTCTCAATTACAAATTCAATGTACTCTGAGGGCCTCCTAATCTACAAAAACCTTTAAGACTGAGCAGTAGGGCTTCCCTGGTGGCGCAGTGGTTGAGAGTCTGCCTGCCGATGCAGGGGACACGGGTTCGTGCCCCGGTCCGGGAAGATCCCACATGTCGCGGAGCGGCTGGGCCCGTGAGCCATGGCTGCTGAGCCTGCGCGTCCAGAGCCTGTGCTCCGCAACTGGAGAGGCCACAACAGTGAGAGGCCTGCATACCGCAAAAAAAAAAAAAAAGACTGAGCAGTAGCAGGCTGGTTAAGAGCATGGACTTCTCTCAGTTTGAGACTAGTTTGAATCTTGGCTCTACCACTTGCTAGTTATGTGACATTTATTAAATTAGTTTGCCTCTTGAAACCTTAGATTCCTCACTAATAAAACAGGGTTATTGGAAGGATTAAGTGAGATAATTAAGTGAGATAATACATACCAATAAAACAGGGTTATTGGAAGGATTAAGTGAGATAAGTGGGAAAAGACTTATCCCAATCTGTGGTCCATATTAAGCACTTAAATTGTAGATATTATTATTCAAATTCAAGTCTTTGACCCTGTGGTGACTAGAGCTTAAACTATAGCAGCCCTTGGTGCTGATCTCTTCCCACCGGAGCAGGCTGCAGAGTAAGTGTTTGAGGTACCTCCTTCCCAACCTGGAATATACTTTGGGCAAAGGCTCCAGAGTCTGCCTCGGCTCGGATCCGTGTTCTGCCTCTTTCTAGCATTCTGACCTTGTGCGACCTTACTTTCTCTGGGCCTATTTCTACATTTCCAAAATGGGGATGATAACAAAACTTTCTTCATTTGGCTGATACAGAGCCGGCTCCAGCGAAGTGTTGGCAGATATTATTCTTTTGTTCACTGAGTGACAGTGATTATGGTGGCTCTTCATGTAGCTTTACATCCTTGCCTCCTCCATTTTCTAATACCAAATTCCTTATTCCTATTGTGCCAACAGTCTTCCTAGTTTCTCCCTAACACACCTATCATCTGAGGGTTTCTACCACTCTACTTTTGTACTCTTCTTGGTTTCCTGAATAGCCTCCTGCAAATTCCTCCTACTCTCTGCCACATGCCTCTCGTCCACTAGAAGCCATGTTCTCGTTCACCTCTGATCTTTGCACAGGCTTTCCTTCTGCCTGCATGTTTCTTCTTCCTGTCCCCCACCTTCCCTTACCTCTCTTTGCCTAGCTAACCCCTACTTATCCATCAGAGCTCAGCTCCAGGATGCCTTTCCTGAATCCCCTCTTTGCCCATATTAGCTAAGTATCCTTCTAGCTGCTAATAAGCCTTTCTCTGTCTGCTCCCTACTCCCTCCCCAACCCTTAATCATGCACATTATATTGAGTTCCAATCATTTGTTTGTAAGTACACTGTGTCTATTCTGCAGCTAGATCAGTGTTAAGATCACAGTAGGGCTTCAATAAATATTTGTTGAATGAATGTACAAGTGAATGAATGTAGTTCCTTAGACACACTGTAGTCTTTGCTGTCTCATGTACATGCTGTTCTACCCACCTGAAATGCTCTTCCCTCTACTTCTCACCTGGGTTGGTCTTTCATGGCCTTGAGGCCTCCTTTAGCTTTAAACGGCACCATCTCAGACAGGTGTTCTCTGACAACCATGGTTTAAAGTAGGTTCCCATCGCCCTTATTTTTTGTCTCACCCCTTGTTCAATTTTTTCATAGTATTTACTGTAAACTTGTAATTACTTTATTTATTGCCTGTTTACTTTTTTTGGTCCTTTTCAGCACTATAATGTCAATTCTATGAGGGCGGAGACCATGTCGGTCTTGTTCACTGTCGTATGCCCAGCAACTGGTTCTCAGTAAATGTTTGTAGAAAAAATGAAAGTTATTCTGTAGTCTCATCCAGCTTCCATCCACACCTACCCTTCCCTTCTCAGAATCCTCCTAGCACTTAGACTCTGTCCAAGTCTTCAGTATCACCTGTCTTAGCACCAAGTTTAGATTACTATATGTCTAGAATAATGCATCTTATCTCATTTTGCCAATCACATTCCAAGGTCTTAAAGTCAGGGACCAAATTCATTGTCAAAGTATAGTCAAAAAGAAAAAATCAAAAAAAAAAAGTATAGTCAAGAGCTAGACTTGAAAAGATTCCCTTTGCCCTGCCCCCTCCCCCTTTCTAATATTTCCCCTTTCCACCTGTAAGTTCAAGGCTACTTGGGCCTTTTTTAATATCCTCTAAGTTGCTCAGCTGCAAATCCACACTTCCTGAATCATTGTCAGAAGCACAAGGGACCACTACTTCTTCCCAACTACAGGTCCTACGGATGAAGAGGGGATTAGAAAAATTAGTTTTTCAGGACTGCTTCTGTCTCATCACTCAAGTGCAAGCTTAAATGTCTCCTTCTCAGAGAGGCATTTATTTTTATTATTATTTTTTTTTGCGGTACATGGGCCTCTCACTCTTGTGGCCTCTCCCATTTCGGAGCACAGGCTCCAGACACACAGGCTCAGCGGCCATGGCTCACGGGCCTAGCTGCTCTGCAGCATGTGGGATCTTCCTGGACCGGGGCACAAACCTACGTCCCCTGCATTGGCAGGCAGACTCTCAACCACTGCCCCACCAGGGAAGCCCCGGAGAGGCATTTATTGATCACCAATTTAGATTAAGTAAGCTTCTTCCCACCCCAGCCCCACATTTATTTTTTTCATAGTATTTAACCATTACCGACAATCACCAAGTTCATTTGTGTTTGTTTACTGTAAAAATTTATTTCATTTTCTTGTTTGTATGTTTGGCTGTTTTGTTCATGAATGTATTCTAAGAGACTAGAATAGTGCCTGGCACATGGCAATGCTCAATAAATATTGATTCAGTGAATGACTGGATAGATCTATATTTGCTGAATGTCTAGCCTATATTAGTGAATGAAAAAGCAAGTTGCCAATCTGTTTTCCAAAATGCCTGTTGCATTTTACATTTCATTTTTAAAAAATTTATTTATTTCATTTGTTTATTTTTGGCTGCATTGGGTCTTCATTGCTGCATGTGGGCTTTCTCTAGTTGCCGCGAGTGGGGGCTACTCTTCATTGCGGTGCACGGGCTTCTCACTGTGGTGGCTTCTCTTGTTGCAGAGCACGGGCTCTAGGCGTGTGGGCTTCAGTAGTTATGGCTCTCAGGCTCTAGAGCACAGACTCAGTAGTTGTGGTGCACGGGCTTAGTTGCTCCATAGCATGTGGGATCTTCCCGGACCAGGCCTCAAACCCGTGTCCCCTACATTGGCAGGCAGATTCTTAACCACTGTGCCACCAGGGAAGCCCACGCTTTACATTTCTATCAGCAGTATATGAGAGTTTCAGTTGCTCCACATAATTGCCAATATTTGGTATTGTTGGTCGTTTTATTATCAACCGTTCCAGTGGATGTGTAGCAATATTTCACCGTGGTTTAATATGCAGTGCTGTTGGTCATCTTTTCACGTGCTTATTTGCTATTTGTATATCTTTGATTAAGTGTCTACTCAAATCTTTTGACCATTTTTTTTTTTTTTTTTGCGGTACACGGTCCTCTCACTGTTGTGGCCTCTCCCGTTCCGGAGCACAGGCTCCGGACGCACAGGCTCAGCGGCCATGGCTCACGGGCCTAGCCGCTCCACGGCATGTGGGATCTTCCCGGACCGGGGCATGAACCTGTGTCCCCTGCATCGGCAGGCGGACTCTCAACCACTGCGCCACCAGGGAAGCCCCCATGTTTTTTATTGGATTGCTTGCAAAAGTATGTTGGTAAATGTTTAAAAAAGACTCTCTCAGTGTAGTTCTGAAGTTTGATATTTTCATTTATATTAACGAGTAAGATGTAACTGAAACTTCAGAAGTGACTTCTTTTCTGAATGGGATAATAGTTTTCAAACAGGAGAAGAATATTTCCTCAAGTTTTTGTGCTATTGACAATGTGAAACTGATTGATGCAATATACTTTTAAGTTTAATCTCTATTAACATTTTCTCCAACATTAAGTTTACACAGTAAAAAAGCAATAAGTCAAGCTCTGGTCTGTAGCATGTGCTGACTGTATGGGGTAAATATTCTTATTGTAGCCAAAATTCAGCTATTAATGTTACTGGGAAGAGATTTGTAGTAGCACACCATGATATAAGATTTTCACTATTCAGATATTATAGATATAAGCTACCACAAAAACACAGATGATGGTAAAATACAGCAAAATAATTAGGAAATGATGACTTCGGTTTTCAATATACTTTATTTCATTGTAAGTGCGTATAATGTTTCTAAATAGCTGTATTTAACAACCAATTTGCAAAATTCCTTTTATTTATATATATGTTTATTGAAGTATAGTTAATTTACAATGTTGTGTTAGTTTCTGGTGTACAGCAAACTGATTCAGTTATACATATATACTCTTTTTCATATTCCCTTCCATTTTGTTTTATTACAGGATATTGAATACTGTTCCTTGTGCTATACAATAGGACCTTGTTGTTTATCAAAATTCCTGATAAATTTAACAGTTGATTCTCCAAGCCAGTATGAGGCTTCAGCACACCATTGGTTGTCTTATTACTGAGTTGGAAGAGTTCTTTATATATTCTAGATCAGTGCTGTCCAATAGAATTTTCTGTGGTAATGGAAATGTTCTATAATTCTTCACGGTCCAACATGATCTCCACCAGCCACATGTGGCTACTGAGTGCTTGAGATGTGGTAAGTACAACTGACAAACTGAATTTTTAATTTTAATTAATTTAAATTCAAATTAAAATATCCACATATTTAATGGCTAGTATACCATACCCGACAGCACAGTACCAGACATAGAAAGAACTGACTCTCCCTTATTTAGGATAATAATTTCCGGGACACTAATTATAGTAAGAGTTATCGCATAGTGAATACTTTATATGTTCATAATAGTTAAAAGCACAGATTATGGAGTCAGACTGTACGGGTTCAAATATTTTAGTTTCCTTCTCTATAAAATGGGAATACAACTAGTGCATATTTCACAGAATGGTGATGAGGAGTAAATGAAATAGTGTACATGGAGTGCTCAGTACACTGTCGGGCTATCCCGTAAACTCCCAATAATCAGGGTTAGCTATTATTGAGTTCTTAGATAAGTCACTTCCTTTTTTGAGCCTGTTAGGGCTAATATTCTCCTCACACAAATGCTGTGCAAATCAGTTTAAAAAAATCACTCGTAGGTCAGTTATTAAGAACCGAAACAATCTTTGGAGAAAGTTGCCATAATTTTTAATTTTCTAACAAAACCCGAAACCCCTCGAACGTTGCTAGCCCTTCCCCACCGGACCCTTCCTATTCCTTTAAAATCGGCCGGGCTGCAGAGAGACGACTGAGTGACAGCGCAGTAGGCCAATCACAAGAGGACGCATATAAGGCCCACCCCCCCCCAAGGCCTCGTCCAACCGCGTGCCGGCAGCGCCCGGAATGGGACGGTTGCGAGGCGGTCGGTTCCAAGTGGGAGAGGGTGCGGGGGAGAAGCGGGCCTGTACTCGAAGACTGCAGCGCACTCTGCGCGCGAGGACTGGAATTACGGCCGCAGCTGCTGGGAGTGACCCGGCCCAGCGGGACGGCGGGGACTGACCTGTGCCTAGAGCCCATCCTAGCACGCGGGGTCTGCCGCGAATCCCTGGCGTCCCCTCCGGCGCAGTCTTGGAGCCACTTTCCCGAGCGGAAGTCCGCCTGTGTCTCGGGCCTTGGTAGGATCTGCTAGGAGGAATGGCGCCGCCGGGTGAGGCGTTGTGCATGGCTCGACAACGGGGTCCCGCGGCCCGCACGCCTTGGCGAGTGGGCCCTCGCCCGCGGGAGACTAGTGCTCGCCACGCAGGAGCTGGCTAGGCGGGATCCCCTTCCCCTGCGGGGCAGGGGCATGGGCATGGGCTCGGGCTCGGGCTTTTGGGGTCGAGGGTCTGACGAAGGGTTGGCCAGCGGGTGGGACTGTCGCGGAGGAGGGGTTGGGTACGGGTGCGGCGCGGAGCTGCGGGTCCCCCCGAGGCCCAGCCAGGGACCGCGGCCGCGGATAACGCTCGGGCCGACTTAACTCATTCATTTGACTTGCGCGGGCTTCCGGGCCAGGAGGCGTAAGAGTGAGCTTTTGGCCAAATCGTCCTGTTTTTTTAAAAAATATTTATTTACTTATTTATTTGGTTGCACAAGGTCTTGGTTGCGGCAGGCAGGGTCCTCAGTTTTGGCATGCGAACTCTTAGTTGCGGCATGCATGTGGGATCTAGTTCTCTGACCAGGGAGCGAACCCGGGCCCCCTGCTTTGGGAGTACAGAGTCTTAACCACTGCGCCACCAGGGAAGTCCCTCGTCCTGTTTTTGGACCATGGTTTCCTTTTTAATGAAAGGGGTAAGACAGTCAGTCACCTCTCTTTGGGAGCTTAGAGCATGAGTCCTGAAGTTAGAGTCTCCGGTACAGACTTGGAGTCTGCCACGTATTCGTTAATGTGACCCTGTGCAAGTTACTTAATTTCTCTGCCCCTCAGTTTCTCATCTGTAAAATAGGTTAGTAAAGTTATCTACCTCATGAATTACAGTGAGTGTTAAATCAGATAATCTCCTTGCGTAGCGTGGAACAGTGCGGCACTAAGTAAGCACTCAGTAAGCTTAACTATATTGCTAGGTATTGAGTGGGCACTGTGCAGGATGGAACCTCATGTAGTCTCACAACAACTTGGGAAATGTGTACTGTTATTATTTCCGTTTGACAGATGGAATATCAGAGAAGGGAAGTAACTTGCCCCAGGTAAAAGTGAGTAAGTCAGTGAACTCACTGCTCCATTATTTGAGAGGTTGAGGATAATAGAGCTCCTGCAGTTTGGTTCTCACCTAGTTACGTGTCTTAGGGCAGGTAACTATTTATGAGACTCAATTTCATGGTCTGTAAACCGCACTCACTTGGATGTTGTGAGGATTTAATGACTAAATGGATGCAAACTATTTAGCATAGTGTGGGCATACCGTACACATGTTAAGTGCTCAAATTTTAGACCCCGCAGTTGTTATGATTAATATGAGGTGGGAATATCAGGATTCTGGCACAGATGCTGTGTTAGGGGAACTTACAGTTGACCTGGCAAAAGCTAGTCATAGTTACTCACTAGATCTTAAGGTATTGAGTGCGTGCATACGGGCCTCTCACTGTTGTGGCTTCTCCTGTTGCGGAGCACAGGCTCTGGACGCGCAGGCCCAGTGGCCATGGCTCACGGGCCTAGCCGCTCCGTGGCATGTGGGATCTTCCCGGACCAGGGCACGAACCACGTCCCTTGCATCGACAGGCAGACTCTCAACCACTGCGCCACCAGGGAAGCCCAGCATAAGTATCTTGATTCCTCTTTTACATCTTTCAATCCATTATCAATTCTGGCTTTAACTTTGAATTCTAGCCAGACTTCAACCACTTCTCAGTACCTCCATTGCTGTCACCCTGGGTTAGACCACCAGCATCTTTTTTCCTGGGTTATGGCAGTAGTCTTCTATCCTTACTTCTCTATAATCTCAACACAGTATTGTTTATTCTCAACACAAAGTTCCTGTTAAAATGTAAGTCAAGTCACTCCTCTGCTCAAGATTTTCCCGTGGCTCCCATCTCACTTAATAAAAGCCAAAGTCCCTATAATGCCCTCTTGATTTGGCCTCTGCTACGTCTGTTACCTTGTCCCTACTTCTCAACCCTTGCTTAATCCTCTCCAGCCATATTGTTCTCTTTGCTAATGCGAAAAACACCATCTGCACTCCTGATTCAGGGTATTTGCCCTTGCTTTTCTTGGGATAGTTTCCCTCCAAATTTCTTTATGACTTGCTCCTTTTCCTTCAGGTTTACACACAATATCTTTATTTCTTAGGGCTTCACAGGCTACCATATTTAAAATTACAGCTCTTCCTGATATTCCTTCTGTGCTTTATTTTTCTTCATAGCACTTTTCACCTTCTAAGATGATAAATAATGTTTCATAATTATTTTGTGTAATGTCTTTCTTTTCCAACTAGAATGTAAGCTCCATGAGATTAGGGGTTTTTGTTCTGTTTCCTGTTGTATTTTTAATACCAAAAATAGTGCTTGGTACATAGTAGGTACTTAATAAATATTTGATGAATGATGATCCACATTATAGATCTCTTTCTAGTTTTTTTCAAGAGCTTTTGCATTCTTTAGGTTATTTAACACACACGAGGACTTAAATAACAGTAACATTCATGCCCCTAGTGTAGGCATCCCTTCTACAACATTCTCTAAAAAATAGTGGAGTGCGAACTCCATAGATAGACCTGGGTTTGAGTCCAAGATTGGCTATCTCCAAGCTGTTCTGGTCCTCAGTTTTCTTATTTGTAAAATACCTTTTTTAAGGTATTTAAGGTATTTCTAGTTCAAACTAAATTTGACGCCATAGGCAAAGGAGCAGTAATCATTAATGTTAACCTTGTGATTACTGTTACTTGGAAGGCAGACTGTTCATGAAGTTGCCCATTTGAATGTGTTTTTTTCCAAATGAAAAGTAGAAATGTTCCACTTCTGTGATTTCTCTCTGTCCCCTGGGGCATAATAGATGAGGATTGATTTTTCTTTCCATTTATTCAGCAAATATTAATTCAGTACTGCTATGTGCCAAGCAATGTGCAAGATCTGGAATTACTGGGATGAATAAAAGCAACGGTCTCTGTCCTCATGAAGCTTACAGTCTAGCAGAGGAATAAGACATTACACTACTAATTTTAGTTGTGAAAAATTCTGCATAGAAGTGCAGGTTGCTGTGAGCAGATATAGGAACAACAACAACAATAATGTAATAGAAGGAGTAGCTAACATTTATATAGCACTTACCTATATATGTGCCAGTCACTAACATTTTCTGTATTAACGCATGTAATCCTAACAACCCTGAGGTAGATACTGTTATTATCCCACTTTACACTTGAGAAAACTGAGACACAGCTGGTCACATTGTAACTGCCATGGCCACCTTGCTAAGAAGTGACAGAGCTAGGATTTAAACCTGGCCCCAGAAACCTCGTTGTTTGCTACTTTATAGTACTGGGACCTCATCCAAAGGAGGGCTCTTGGGAGGCTTCTTAAGGAAGAGATACTCGAAATCTGAAAGTCGAAATTAAGCAGGAGAAGGCATGCAAAAGAGCTGGGTGGGAAAGAACACGACTACTTAGAGGAGCAGAGAGGAGGGCAGAGAGCAACAGATGAAAGAGTGGGGGAGGAGATCTGGTTGGGACGGGCAAGGCCACTGGGGAGGATTCAGGGTCGGGTTTGTCCTACGAGGCATACGAGTTACAAATGTACTTGAGATGGGAATGGCATGATGAGTTCCTTGCTTTAGAGGCACAGAGGCTGCTGGGAGGACTGTCGTTCGAGAGTTGAAGACCATGCCCACCACTTCCCCAAGGCGTGTCTCCAGGTTGAACCTCCCAGTTCCCTCACCCTTCCTCACATAATTTGGTTCCCAGACCTTGGTGTGCCTCATCATTGGAACTTTGTGTAGAACTTTGGAATAGTGTGGAGTGTATTTATTTAATAGTCGTTTCCCCCCAAGGTTCAAGCACTGTCTTCCTGTTGGCCCTGACAATCATAGCCAGCGTCCATGCTCTGACGCCCACTCACTACCTCACTAGGCATGATGTGGAGAGACTGAAAGCCTCGCTGGATCGCCCTTTCACAAGTTTGGAATCTGCTTTCTACTCCATCGTGGGACTCAGCAGCCTTGGTGCCCAGGTGCCAGATGTAAAGGTAAAGACCACTTTTGTCTTGGTGGCCTCATGCCTTCACTGGGTTCCTTTTGTGTACTTCAAAACTAACCCTTGCTCATTTGAGGATAACCAAGGCAGACCCAATATAATAAATATTTATATCAGTCTGACAGATCCTTTTTTTTTTGTTTTTTGAATGCCTAATATATGTTAGGACCATGCCAGGTGTTTTAGTAGAATATAAAGGAGAGCAAGTCATAGATTCTTTAGAAACTTTTTTTTTTTTTTTTGCGGTACGCGGGCCTCTCACTGTTGTGGCCTCTCCTGCTGTGGAGCACAGGCTCCAGACGAGCAGGCTCAGTAATTGTGGCTCACGGGCCCAGTCGCTCCGCAGCATGTGGGATCCTCCCAGACCAGGGCTCGAACCCGCGTCCCCTGCATTGGCAGGCAGACTCTCAACCACTGCGCCACCAGGGAAGCCCCTCATGCTGTTTTTGAACATATTTCCTTATCTCTTTAATTCCTATAAACTGATAGTTAGCTCTTGAGGCTTAATTATAATCAGGGTCAGTTTTCTTGGCAGAAATAGTTCATAGGCAGTGCTGTGTGCTTCCTATCAGTGGATGCATAATATCTGATTGTTTCATTTTTAGTTATGATAAAGTTGAATCAGTGGATTCAGGTGTTGTCACACTAATCTATCTCCTGTACACAGTATATAGTAGGGACTTGTTTTTTATCCATTCTGGCAATCTCTGTCTTTTAATTGGAGATTTAGTTCATTTATATTGTTTTGTAACTATACTGTTGGGTTTAAGTTTACCATCTTGTTTTCTATTTATCCATTTTTTCCCTCCTCCTTTCCTGTCTTAGACTGAATCTTTTTTTTTTAAAATATTCCAGTTTATCTCTTATATTGGCTTTTTAGCTTATTTTTTTAGAGGTTGCTCTAGAGATTGTAATATGCATCTTAACTTATCACAGTATACTTTGAATTATTATTTTGCCACATCACGAATAAGGAAGGAACCTTATAACAATATATTTCTCTTTAAACTCCCATCATTTGTACTATTGTCATACTGCTTACATTCTTTCAAGGGTCATGGCCTTGTCCTGTCTGTTGTCCAGCATCTCAGCTTCATCTGTTTTGTTCAGTTTTACAGTTATTTATGACAGGCTGATAAATTCAGTACGTTTATTTCTGTCCTGGTCAGAACTGGTAGTCCCTGTTGATGTCTTGCAATCCATTGCAATTGTTATTGTTTTTGATGCTCAAAATGTCCCGTTTTTGCCAGTGGGCCAGAATGTCTCTCTGTGTGTGTTTTGTTTGTTTCTATGTAATCCAGTAGTCTTTGAGAGTTTCTGATGTCCTTGGCTTAAATATTTTCTGGCCGAGACTAGAATCAGTAATTGTTATTATTTATTTATTTATTTATTTTATTTTATTGCAGTACGTGGGCCTCTCACTGCCGCGGCCCCTCCCGTTGCGGAGCACAGGCTCCAGACGCGTAGGCCCAGCAGTCATGGCCCACAGGCCTAGCCGCTCCGCGGCATGTGGGATCCTCCCAGACCGGGGCATGAACCCGTGTACCCTGCATCGGCAGGTGGACTCTCAACCACTGTGCCACCAGGGAAGCCCCTGTTATTATTTATTGAATGTCTCATGTGCCAGGTACCCTGGATATGTTATCTTGAGTTGTCTTCATTCTATATGGTCAGAAATATTATCCTGTAATAGAGGAGGAAGTGCAAGCTCAGAAAGGTTAAGAAAATTGTCCAGTGTCTGCCAGCCATCATCTGCATAATGGCCCCCACGGTCAAATCCAGCTTGAAGCCTGTTGTTGTAAATAAAAGTTTACTGGAACACAGCCATGCCCATCACTCACATATTGCTATGGCTGCTTTTGCACTTCAACAGTAGCGTTCAGTAATTACTGAAGAGACTTATCTGGCCCCCAAAGCCTAATATTTACTCTCTGGCCCTTTACAGAAAGTTTGCTAATCCCTGCTATGTGAGAGCTGTGCTTATTCAGATTTCTTCCTGACAGCTATCTCTTGTTGCTGCCCAATATTTCCTTCCTGTGTGTGACTGTTAATGAAACAGACTTCCCTCATGTTGTTTTAAACCCTCCAGGTCAATATACCTCCTAATAAAATTAGTTTTGTTCAAGAGAAAAGAGTACAGGCAGCAGAGTCACTAGCCCAAGTTTTTAATTCTGGCTCCATCTCTCTGTAAAATGGGAGTTGTGATGCCTTCCTCATGGGATCATTGTAAAGATAAAGTGAAATCATATTATGCCTAGTGACTGGCCCACGAAAGGCCCTTTGAATGGTAGCTATTATCATAATTATATAATTATATTATAATTATTTAATAATTATTATATTATAATTTTAAAAGTTTTGCTTCTATTTATAATTTATTCAGGTGAGTTCAGACAATGCTGGTGCAGATACTGTATGGAAGGCCCGCAGTGTCTGTAAAGGGCTTGAGAAAGAGAGAGAACAGACAATTGGGAGACATAGGGTGGAGCAGTCTTGACCAGTAGAGGTTTTGTATCGTAAGGTGTAGGAGATAAATTTGGAATATTAGGCTAATGTTAAATTTTGGCGGATCTGAATGCAGGATGAGAGTTTTCTGCTGGTCTGTTTGAAAATTCTGTGGGACCATAGGATTCCGTCTAGGGGCCTCCTGGAGGAGTGAGGAGTGAGGCGCTCTCACTCTAACTGAAATGATACTTTTTAAAATTAATTAATCAATTAATTAATTAATTTTTGGCTGCACTGGGTCTTCGTTGCTGCATGCGGGCTTTCTCTAGTTGCGGCGAGCGGGGGCTACTCTCTGTTGCGGTGCATGGGCTTCTCATTGCAGTGGCTTCTCTTGTTGCAGAGCATGGGCTCTAGGCGCACGGGCTTCAGTAGTTGTGGTACTCGGGCTCAGTAGTTGTGGCTCGCTGGCTGTAGAGCACAGGCTCAGTAGTTGTGGCGCATGGGCTTAGTTGCTTCGCAGTGTGTGGGATCTTCCCGGACCAGGGCTTGAACCTGTGTCCCCTGCATTGGCAGGCTGATTCTTAATCACTGTGCCACCAGGGAAGCCTCAAATGATGCATTTTTATCTGTCTCATGATTTAGAGCTGCACGTGGATTTAGGTTGAACTCATGCCTCTCTAGGTGTTCTCTGCTGATGTAATGGGTTTGAGGGCACGTTGGTCAGGGCTGAAGACACAGGCTGAAGCCATCCAGACAGCTGCAGTGCAGTGTGATTTGGGGGTAATTGCGTGATTAGCTGTGGGCTTTTTATTCATAATACAGACTCTAAAGTCACATTGGTTGGCTTCAAGATCTTGACGTCACAACCACACCACTGAGTCACCTGTGCAGCTTACCGAACCTTTCAGAACCTTCGTTTTCTCATCTGCAAGATGGAGATAGTTACAGTACTCAGCTCACAAGTGATGGATGTAGGCTGGTGGCATGGTGATGGCATGTAGTAATGGGTGTCATCAGTATTAGCTCTTAGTAGTACTATTACATGGTAGTAGCGGTGAATGTATGTTGATTGACATTTTATTTTTTCTCCTGCTGTCATCCCCATTGCTTAATGCCTAATGAAGAGGGTGTTCCACAAATATTTGTTGAATTGTAAACTTTAGCTTAATAGAAATGAAAGCTCTCTAAATGTGCCTCTTAATTGGAAAATAAATGGGTTAATCACATACTTCATTTTAATCACTTATGAAATGTGCTGTGGTGATGGTGTGATGTGTACATTGTAAGCAGTGGAAGGAAGGGAGTTGTATGGATATTTTGGAGTTGGTGAATTTCCTTACTAGAGGTGTACACTAAAGAAATCCATTGAGAGAGAGTCTCTGTTACTGTCACTTCCATGTAGTGGGATGTGTTCTGCTCAGCTATTGTTGCTTTCAGCTGAGTAGAGAGAACCCCCTCAGTTCTGCTAGATGCACTGAGTTGGTTGTTCTCACAGATAGATCATTAGGGGAGATTTTGGTTATTTTGTCGAAAGAGATTCAGCAGCAGAACTGAGAGGAATGGGGTTTAATAAGAATATGAGAGTAGAGCGCAGCTCTGGGAACAGTGGAGTGTGGAATGAGAGTTGATTTTAGGTGTTATGAAGACTGAACATCTTTCATTTTGGTATCAAGTACTGTGTATGTATATTTTAAAAACATAAGCACATGAGAACGGCGATTTTATAGATTTTTTTAAAAAATAAATTTATTTTATTTATTTATTATTTGGCTGTGTTGGGTCTTTGCTGCTGCACGCGGGCCCTCTCTAGCTGCTGTGAGCGGGGGCCACTCTTCGTTGCGGTGTGCTGGCCTCTCATTGCGGCGGCCTCCGCTGTTGTGGAGCATGGGCTCCAGGCACGCGGCTTCAGCAGCTGTGGCACATAGGCCCAGCAGTTGTGGCTCTCGGGCTCTAGAGTGCAGGCTCAGTAGGTGTGGTGCACGGGCTTAGTTGCTCCGTGGCATGTGGGATCTTCCCAGACCAGGGATCAAACCTATGTTACCTTGGGGGGTTAAGAATCCCCACAGGCCGGGCTTCCCTGGTGGCACAGTGGTTGAGAGTCCTCCTGCCAATGCAGGGGATGCGGGTTTGTGCCCCGTCCCGGGAGGATCCCACATGCCGCGGAGCGGCTGCGCCGTGGGCCATGGCCGCCGAGCCTACGCGTCCGGAGCCTGTTGCTCCGCAACGGGAGAGGCCACAGCGGTGGTGAGAGGCCCGCGTACTGCAAAAAAGAACAAAAAAAAACCAAAAACAAACAAAAAAGAATCCCCACAGGCGGATCCTTAACCACTGTGCCACCAGGGAAGTCCCTATAGATATTATTGCTTAGCTTTTTATAAGACTTAGGAACATTGAGGGTTATTTTGTATTCGTTTTAATGAAAATATTAAGTAAATGGGAGACATACTATGCAAAAATTGTGCTGGTAGATTAGATTCTAATGACTGAAATCAGGACACATCAGACAGTGTTCACAGGTTGTCAGTCAATCAGGCACTTTCCTGATCT